ATTCTGCTTCATAATCAGTATCTCTCTTTGCTGAATTGTGCTGAGATTATTGTGCTTTTATTGTGAAATGACAACTACAACTTTATTACCAGTGCTGTACAAACAAGAAGCACTTGAACTTTTGCCTTTTTCTGCAGGATGACATCCGCATCTGGTGATTTTTAAGGAAGTCGAGTGAGGACAGTGAACCGGAGTGACCCAAATCACATCACTGTGAGTTGTGTTTGCTCAGGGTGGAAAGAGGACTGCACCTGCAAACTGAATGAAAGTCTTATGTAAACAATGAGCAACAGATAATGACTTTATGCCTGCAAGAGTTGTTCCTGAGCATCAAACCTCATTTTATTATCTATCAGGATCCACGGCGTCCTCTGACTGGGCTTTCCCACTAAAGGGGTTCCAGTGCTTGACCAGGGTTAGTGATTCTTTTACAAAACATAAGGGCCAGTTTGGTTTTGTCTTGGTGCCAGCTTTGGGAACTCCCTTGTCTGTGGATTTCAACTCCTCTCCTCAGAATGACACAGACAATCAGTACAGCCCAACAGAAGTCCATGAATCCAAAAATTCAATGTCTAAGTGAGGTACAGGTAAGGTCATACACAGGCAGGCAGAAGTCAGTAATGCTTATCAGGGGGTAGAGCGGAAAGCAGTAGTCAAAGTTCAGAGCCAATGTCGGTGTCCAGTTGACAGATGGGCGAAAGACTCTGTGAGGGACAAGGCAGGCAGAATCCGTGGACAGAAAATGTGGTCAAAAATATCACTGGAGTCTCTTCTAGCGCAAGGCTGTCTATCATCTGGCAGGGTGTTGGGCAGGGAGTCAGGGCCTGAGCTTTGCTTAAAAAGAGGAGCGCACAGGTGCAGCAGGGAGACAATCAGGAAGGGCTCAGGTGAACTGTGTGAAGCTGATTAGTAACAGAAGGACTGGCAGAAAGAAAAAAACAAACATGACAGGCATAGCAGAACAAGGTGGAATCATTACAGTAGTTGGTAAATAATAAAGGTTTAAGGGAGAAAAGTGCAGGATTTCACAAAGCGATTGCCTTTCAATTTGAATCTGTGATCCGCTGCCACGCGGACTGGAATAACAAATGCTGCAGTAACAGGAGTTGTAGTCAGGTTCATGAGGAGTCACTGGCTGGAGCGGACCCGACTTTAATACGTCATTCCGAAATAGAAGCTAATATCTTAATTTGACCTGGAATGAAAAATGTTATAAAACCTCTTAAAAGTTTTTATCACAGAGGAGGCAGCGCTCATTTCTGTCATCAGTCTGACGGCGCACCGGAGTTTGCGCAGCGTGCACGCTTATTGAATCTCTGTTTGTGTGTGTGTGTGTGTGTGTGTGTGTGTGTGTGTGTGTGTGTGTGTGTGCGTGTGTGTGCGTGTGTGCGTGTGTGTGTGTGTGTGTGTGTGTGTGTGTGTGCGTGCGCGCGCGCGCACGGCACAGCTCCATGAAGCTTGGTTTATGCTTGACGCATTCACTTTCCGCTTGGTGATGCGGCTCGCGGATGGAACACGCTTCACAACTTGCAGCGTTTAAGTCACCGCGTCTCGTTATCGGCGCTATTTAAACCAATGTTGTAAAATTACTTCTGCCCAGCCCAGATGTGCTCACATGTACACCCGTGAGCCGTGGTTCCGCTGGAACGCGTCTGACCACTGCTTACATCCAGCAATGCTGTTCTTCCAGGGAGTGTTATTACACTGTAATTATTTAAAGGTTGAATCTACCAGTTAAATCAAGTGGTTCTACTAAGCCTATCTGCTTAAATGTAAAACATAACAGTAAAGGTACTCTTAAAGTATCACGTTTGCCACTTCTCTCCCAATGGTTGAAGGTGGAATTACAGACAACCCTACCACAGCCTCCAATGAGCATAGGCTGTGCCGCTGTGATATCTGACAGACTTCTCTGAGCTCTGCAGCCATTACACTTTTCACCTCGCGCACCCCCGGGGGTGCGCGCACCACACTTTGGGAGTCCCTGCACTAATACATAATAGGAGATGCAGCGGCATGTAATACTTTATCCTAGATGTCTGCTTTACTCTTGCATAAACTTTAAAGGCCCATAACTGTTGATCAAATAAATATTAAACCTCTGACAACTTAACAGAAATATTCAAGATTTCATCACGCCATCCATCTGAGTCGTGACTCTTTATAGCAGGTTGATCTTTGATTCCGGGCCGATCAAAGCCATAAACAGTATGACGTGTACAATAAAATACAATCAGACCAAAGTTCAGTCCAGCGCAGAGTCTGAGTGGGCGAGGGAGCAGGCCTGCAATATGTTCTCCATTAAAATTTAATCAGTTGTTTGCTATTTCTTTATTTAACAGTTAAAAGTTGAAGCCTTCCAGCCAAGACTTTCCTTCAGCAGGGTGTTTGTGTTTTACTGCAGCCAGCATCTTTATTTGGACTTGATTTGATTTATCGAAAGGCTAATAAATGATCCCAGTGTGTCTGCCAACTGAAGAATCTAAACTAAACCTCCACATCTGGCATCCAAATGCGGAGCATCCAATGATGCTGCATTAACACTTGATACACTTTTTTTAAACTCACTGGATTATAAATAGGCAGTACACATGGAGGAAATATCATTTCAAATGAAAACCTGAGACAGCTTTGGCAAACAGAAGGCTGTTAATGGTAAACCGTTGGTGTATGGTGCAGATCAAGTCGTGAAAATGTTCAGAAATCAAGTAAATACGGTGTAAGCTGAAATGAGCATGGCGGTGTGTGAATTTTACCATGATGTTACTGGATTTCCTTAGAAAATAACTTTTTGGGCAGCATTTTCTTCCCATACAACCTTGTTAACTTAGATACGGAGAACAAAGACTTGGAAAAATAACATTTATAGATATGTTGGAAGACACTTTTTAGCAAACTTTACACGCTTGGTGGAAAATACCTTAGTGTGAACTTGTGGTTAAAATGTTCATATACTTTTAATTGTTAGTCACAAAACACTGGTCTTTTTCTGTAGACAGTGCAGCTGCCGTACCACACACTCATACTGAAGCACAGGATCCTTTCAATCGTTGCTATGGATCATGGTAACCAACCTGCAGAGCAAAAGCCCTTTTGCCTCTGCTATGGTATGTCTAGATTTCTAGGCTAATAGCTAGCTGCTCCCATTCTTTGTTCATAACAAAAGCCTTCTATATAAACAAATGTGTGATGTGAAATTAACAGTAATAAAAATGTTTTTAAATTTTATGACAAGCTCATGACAGCAAGCCACTTTGGTCCTAGCTTTGCTCGGATCAACTTGGACTAAACTGTCTTTAGAGGGTTTGAAGGCTAGGCCATAATTTTCAAAGGTTCACTTCTGGCCCTCATGTAGTATTTTGCTCATGCCTGTTTTAGAAATTGTGAAACAAATTTAAAGATAGGCTTTACAACAAGAGCATGACTCACACTTTGATGTGTTGTATTACACTATTACATCATCAAACCTGCCATCATCCTGGCACAGCACACTGGATCACATGGACAACGAGTCATTCGTGAAGACCTTTAGTGCATCCAAGACAAAAAACTAAATTTATCATTTTAAAGTGTTTTCTTCATCAAGCTGTTGTGCTATGGGACATATATTTCAAAACCTTCCCATATTGGGCACCTCGTGGAAGCCTCTGCTCATGGCAACATTAAAACAGCGAAATAAACCAATTTTCCAAATGGAATTCGAACATTGATGCAGACTCATGTGTGCTAGATAATATAAAAATGTAATGGTCCCCCAAATGTTTTTCAAAGATCACAAAGAGCTTTTGGGAATAAAAATATAATTTTCAGACCAAAATGAATGTGTTCACATTCCATTTAACAGACAGTGTCCAGGGTGCTCAACGCTAAGTGTTCCCAAATAATACTTTTCTCTATTGTGAAACTTATGGGATTAAGAGTTTCTAATTATGTTTGTCTTGTGGTTTCCTGGTAGCTTAGTCCAGATTTACACACTAATAGTTTTACAGCTGGATTTAATTAGTAAATTGAAGTTTCTAGACCTCTTATGTAATAGTGTTAATGCTCATGAGCTTTGTTACAAATAAATGTCAGTGCTTCAAAATCCTTTGTTGGTATGTTTAGAAAAATTTTTAATTAAAAAGTATCTTTATTAAGGAGAAATACTAGATTTGTGAGTTTCCTGGATAGAACCAGCAACTCATAACCTCTATAGGGACAACAAAACACTATTCATGATAATGGTGGATTTCACTACATTCATTTAATGAGAATAAAACTTTTATATTTCAGGAGAAGGATCAGAGGGTATAGTATAGAGTCAAATTTTAAACCCTATTTTCAGATTTTGTTCCTAGTTTTAGGAGCAGAAACAAATATTCACTTTTTAAAAGAATGATGAAGACAGAATGAAAACATGCTAATAAGGGCCTTCACCAGTAGATTCACCCAATAATTGTCCTTAAGGTTTTTGTCTCGAACATCTCTTTTTTTAATCCTGATTCCCTTTTCAGACAAGCTGATTAACACTGACCTTAGCAGCGTTTTTACTGGTACAATGAATAGTGTTAAATGACTGTAACACAAAGCTCTGTACCAAAATGTCATCAAGCTATTAAAAATGTATTTAAAAGTAATATAAAGTATTTTGTAAAAACTTTTTGCTGTAATTATTTATTTACAACTTGAAATATCAGACACATGTTTACATCTGCTGGGAAAAAAACTTAATCCTAAAAACATTTTTTACACCCCCGTTTTCTATAATGTCTAGTCTGTTTTCCTAAGAGTTTGCCTCCAAAAACTGGATTTTCAGTTATCTTTCAACACTTAAAACGTGGGTTTAAATTGCAGTCCGGGGCTGTAAGAACAGAAACAATCTTGTTTTGATCATAAAATCTCTAACTCGTGAAATCTGTTTGAAATCAGGCTGTAATTCAGACAGGAATTCCCCGTCTCAACCGTTTACCACTTTTGCCTTTGACCTAGAACCGTAACCGTTTACTGTCGCCTGCGTCACCAAATCGCGCGACAACTCGCGATAATTCAAGCAATAAATAAGGCAGCCGTGGGTTCTTTCGGAGCATCTGTTAGCTTCTGGAGGACGTGGAGAGAAGTCGGCATCACCGGTAAGTGTCACAGACCTGCTGTCGTGTTTTTAGGTTTTACTAGAAGAAAACCAGAGGCGGAGGTGTCTGTAAATGTTCTGTTCACTTGTTATTACGCTTCGTCTCGTGACGGGGTGCTTTTCCAAACGGATGTACCGTATTCGGCTCTACACCGGCTCGCTGCAGCACTAAGTTGCCTGCTTACTTCTTTGGTGGACCTTTTCGGAAAATCGATGGAATATGAAAATGTGTTTTATCTGTTTACAGAAAAATGGCAGCAGCGGAAATTATGTCACACCAAGTGAGTTCAGTCAGTGATTTCTAATCTTTTGACTTTAGCTTACTTTTCACTCACAAGCAGTGAAACAGGTCTGAATCTACTTTCTATGGAACTGTATTTTGCCTCAGAGCGTGGTGGACAGGGTGAGCAGCCTTCCTCTGCTGAGCTCCACCTACAGCATGGTGTTCAGTGTGTACTCCAACACCAAAGACAACCACCCCTACATCAAGAGTATGTGTGAAGCTGCAGAGCAAGGAGTCCGCACCATCACCTCTGTGGCTCTCACCACCGCCTCACCCATCATCGGCAGGCTGGAACCTCAGAGTAAGAAGGCTCATCTCAATGTTGAGAAACAGAATGTTGCAATAAAAGCCAACGCCCAGTTCAGGGTCATTAGGTACCAGCCCACTGGCTCGTGGACCAGAGTCATAATGCTTTTCTTTCCGTAGTTGCCATTGCCAATAACCTAGCCTGTAAAGGTCTGGACAAGATCGAAAAAACCTTGCCTATTCTGCATCAGCCTTCTGAGCAGGTGAGCCTGATTCCACAACACTGATTTAAACCAGTCATGATAACCCGTGGCCCGTCTTTCATAACCTCCTGCCTTTCTTCCAGATCGTTTTCAGTGCCAAAGGTGTCGTAACGAACGCTAAAGATGTTGTGACTGAGAAAGTGTCTGGAGCCAAGGGCACTGTCTCCGTCACTCTGAGCAGCGTTGTAGAGAAGACCCGAGGAGCGGTGCAGGACGGGATGGAGAGGACCAAAGCTGTCCTGAGCGGGAGCGTGAACACAGTTTTGGAGAGTAGAGTGGTACAGCTGGTCAGCAGTGGGGTGGACACAGCCCTCAGCACATCTGAGAGTCTAGTGGAGCATTATCTGCCTCTTAGGGAGGAGGAAGAGGGTGAGTCAGGACAAGGAAAATAGACTGCTTACATCCAGCAATGCTGTTCTTCCAGGGAGTGTTATTACACTGTAATAATTTAAAGGTTGAATCTACTTACCAGTTAAATCAAGTGGTTCTACTAAGCCTAGCTGCTTAAATGTAAAACATAACAGTAAAGGTACTCTTAAAGTATCACGTTTGCCACTTCTCTCCCAATGGTTGAAGGTGGAATTACAGACAACCCTACCAGAGCCCCCAATGAGCATAGGCTGTGCCGCTGTTCGCTGTGGTTTAGGCTCTTTGCTTCATCTCCAAAGACATTACTCATGACGCCAACACAAGTAAAATTCTTGTGCTTTTTATTGACGGCCAGTAAACTGAAAAAATGTAGCCTTAATTTTAGCCATCATTGGTAAACTCCACCCCAGTCATTGCACTATGTGCCACTAGTGTACCTAATCAAACCACAAAACTGCTATTACCGTTTCAGGCCAGCAGAGGGAGACAATGCTGTCCAATGTGAATTATCTTCAGACTCTGAAACCAGTTGAACAGCTTTGGGTAGTTTTCCAGGAGCACTACTCGGAGTAACTCAGACTGGTACAGCTCAGCCCAATCATTGTTCCAAGAGCACGGTTCGGTATTTTCACTTTATTTTCTCCCCTAATTTTAGTCCCTCTCCGTTGAGGTACCTGGCAAGACGGAGTCGTGGTTCTTACCACTGGAGCTCGTTTACGATGAGCACTATTCAGCCTAAAACAGCTCTGTACAGCATGGGTTGAGTCAGAACATCTGAGTGTGGTTTTGCTCCCATGCCCGTGCCATGACAGAAAGTGGGTGCGCCCCTTATAGGTGAGGAAGAGGAAGGGGGAACCCGTGGCACGCAGGGGTTGAGGTACCTCAACCGAGCAGGGCCTGAAATTAGGGGAGAAAGGAGAGAGCAAATACTGAACCGTGTCCTTGGAAACTGCTCAGGCCAAGCTGCATCGGTCTGAGTTACTCCGAGTAGTGCTCCTGGAAAACTACCTTGATCGGCTAGGGGGCGGAGTCACTGGTTGCTCTGGAGATATCTGCCTTCTGCTTCACTGCCTGCAGCCATTTCCTGGTTCAGAGTCTGACAGGAACGCCCGAATGTCCAGCTACTCCAACATTTCCAGCAGAGTTGTTTCTGTGGATAATACAAGTTACCTCACACCGTTTACTGATCCCCTCACACGATTTTAAGTCTATAGTAAAAAAACGCCATCGCCGTGTTCTAAATAATCCACTGCAGTTAGTGATGCTCTGAGCAACAAGGTTTATTGGAACCAGTTGACACAAGTTTAAGTTAACTCCACATTTCATTTCTTACAGTGCAACAGGGAGCTGAGATTTGGTTCTCGGCAAGCACGATCAGATTATGGATTTTCAGAATGTCAGCTTGCATTAGCCGCTTGATATTAAAACCCTCCCAGGCACACAGAGACTAGTTCAGACCGAGCGGTAGAGAACAGAAGTTTATTCATGAAGATGAATCAGTACACAAGAACAACAAGACTCCTAATTTCCCTCTGAGATTAATAAAGTTTTTTTTGAATTGAATGGAAATTGAATAACTACTTCAGGCTTTCAAGCCTGCAGCTAATTTTCTCCAGAAGGAAGCCGCTTCAAAAAGATCTTCCCACAGTTTCTAGAAACAGACCCTCAAATTAAGCATATCCATTTCCAACAGAAGGCACTTTTAGCATGCATGTCTCCATCTCAAAAGGCCATGTTTCTGTTCCTTGTGACAGAGCTGGAGGCCAAACCTGTGAAGGGCTCTGAAGAGGAGCCGAGCATCTACGTCCGCCTGGGCTGCCTCTCCACAAAGCTCCGCAGAAGAGCCTACGCCAGAGCCGTGGCCAGGATACGGGACGGCAAGCAGCGCAGCATGGGGATCATTTCTGAGCTCAACTCCACCATGGATGTGGTGCGTGTGCTACGCTCCTGACTTGTGAAGCTAGTGCTTCGCCCAAGCACGTGAATAACCATGGATGCCGTTTTCTCTAGATCCAATACGGCAAGAACATCCACAGTGCCAAACAGATGGTGACATGGAAGTCTGGTAGTCCAACTGAGCAGAACGGTCACCCAGCAGAGGTGATTATACACACAGAGCCAATTCAATTGTTGCTACTAGGAAAGAACCATCTGGACATCCAGATGAGCTTTCCCTCCAACATTTCAGACATCTCAAACACCACTTTCTCCACTCATGGGCTTATTTTGGACCATTTAGGGAGTTATTGAATGTGTGTTCCATCTCCTAGGTGATCGAGTCTCGTACCTTAAACCTGGCCCGCTCCCTCACTCAGCAGCTCCAGACCACCTGCCTGGTCCTAGTCTCTGGCCTGCAGGGACTTCCCAACCACATCCAGCAGGAGGCGCTGTCCTTCAGCCACTCAGCAGCACAGGTGTACTTCAGTTTCAGCAAAGCGAAGGTGCTGGGAGACCTGCCCGACAGCGTGCTATCCAGCAGCAGAGTCCAGCTGGGAAGGATGAAGGACTCCCTGGACCATGTCATGGATTACCTGGTCAACAACACGCCGCTCAACTGGCTGGTGGGTCCTTTTTACCCTCGGATGGTTTCATCTGCAGGCAGCAGCTCTCATCCATCATCATCAAGCCCCGCCTCCACTCAGACCCCCAGGGAAGAACCCATGGAGGTGGAGACTGAGTTGCTCTGTTTACCGTCCTCAACAAATTTAGATTCAGAGCTTCACTAAATGCTCCACAGTACTGAAGTGCTGGGTTCTTCTGTTCTCAGAGTTTGTGTTGATGTGATTTTTAAAATCACAATGTACCGTTTGATAACTTCTGTTTCTCTATAAAGTCGATTGAAATCATGAATTCCTGCTTGCTGTGCATTTACATTTCCACCCAACATGGCTCTCTAGGAAGTGCTTTAGATTCGTAAGTTTAGAAGGGGTTCTCTTTCCTGCAATTGTTAAAATTACAAAAACAATTCTACATATTTAATTTGAGCTTTATTTGATATTACAAGACAAAAAATAAAATCATTAATAAATTCAACGATGGCAGCGACTCTGTCGTGACAAACACTCCATCAGTTTCTGGAAATCCAAAATCAAAGTTAAAATAATCACACAAGCCAACGGGTTTCCCATCAGAGAACGCTGAGGGACGAGTGGGTCAGTTACCGAGAACTTCTGAATCTGACACCAGGCAACATCATCCAGTAGGTCCAGGTTGATGTCATCCTTGGAGTCTTCAGAAAAGCTGAGCATCTGGAAAAGAAAGCGGACTCCTTCTAGAAACTTCCTCCATTAGAAATGCAGACTCACCAGCACTCATGCTGTGTTGAGGAGCCCCGGGGTGGAAACCAAAGCTCATTTCCAGAGCGTAAACATGACGTACCTGCCCCTGAGCCGTCGTCACGGTGACGTGTGCAGCAGATCCTGCCATGGAACAGGGCAGCTCCCCAGCAGACACAACGGACCTGTAACAAGTCTCACTTTAGTCGGGCCGGCACCACCAACAGGACATCCGTCAGCAGACTCGCCTTAGTTTAGGTTTTCTCAGGTTCATCTGCTCCTGAGTTTTACGGTTTGTCAGTCGGCTCCGAGTCCTCTTGATGGTCGTTGAGGAAGATCTGCAGAGTAATTAAACACAAGTCAAGACCTTCCATCATCCTCCAGCTCACAGGATTATTATGTTGTGTTACGTCAGAGTTCCTGTGCTGCTGCTGCCAGCCAACACGCTGTCCCCTTTGGCCCCTCGTCCTCCCTGAAAGAAAAGGAAACCCATTTCACATCAAACCCAGCCTTTGCTAAACAAGAGTCAGCGCTAGAGCCGGCATGTTTGTGCACACATCACCTTGGGAGTTTTGGAAGCGGGTCTCTGGGCTACAGGCGGTGTAGAATCAGACGATTTCACTTCAAATGAAAAAATTTGAATTTTAGAAATTCTGTGGAACAGTTTGCACTATTTACAGCCTCCAATTGCTTCAGATTTTGCTTTTATAACCTGAATATTTAAACAATTTCAATATCAATACAAAGATGCCCTGAACAGCAAAATGCTGTTTTGCAATATTAAGAGCTATTGAAACAGACTTGGTGCTGGGAATTAGAATCAAGACATCACTCCAACAGAACTAGTTAGCTTGATAAACCGTCCTAAATATGTAGAAGTATAGTTAGCTACAACCCACTGAAACCAGCCAGTCATTAAGATGGAATTACTGGTTCTTTCAAACTGCACAACTGGACTAAACCATTAGAAGCAATGACAATTGTTAGTATTCGCTGCTACAGAAATCAAGTCAACGATGCACTCCCATCATACTCTGTACAAGAAGCTAATACATCATCTTCAAAACACTAAAGTACCTCCATCTGCTCATGTCTCAAAGAAAGTCCTGGTCTAACGCGTCTTAGGTTGATGCATACGCCGTTTCAAAACAAACCTCAAGCCATCGCCATCCTTGTCCTTTTTTTCTGTCACAGCTCTGATGCTAAGCCTGCATAAGTTTTCTCTAGTGCTGTTATTGGTCAGGCCTAAACTCAGCATAGGCTAAGCTAGCCTGCTGAGGCTAGACCATCCTGCAGAGGAAAATCTTTGTACTGCTACGGTTTGTCGAGGTTTTTGGGCTACATTCATAAAAATAGTAAATGTAGCCTAAGAGTGCAGCCCTCTGAAACATGCAACACAGACGCAGACAGACAGACAGAGCTAGATAAACATCCGCACACAATATAAAAACACAAGATGCATTTAAAAAAAAAAGTACTTACACATAAAACATTTACTTATTTCTGATTATAATCAGCCATTATTTAGCGAATTGTCTTGTACCTCCATCTTCTGCATTAGCTTCCAATAGAATAGACAGTGAAACCATAGACATGAATATGTAGAAGCCCCATTGGGCGCAGGAAAGCTTAACAGTGTAGCCGCCATGTTGCACGGGTTCCTCAATCTCTAAACCCAACTAGGGTCAATGCAGGGTGAGCAACTGCCCGTTTTGTACAGCCTACAGTAGCAACAAGCGACGCATTATTGAAAACAGATCACGTGGGATTACTGCTGACTTTCCCAGCTTACCTGATGGGACTATGCGGTTTAATTTATTTAATCTTCGTAAATTACCTTTCATGCCAATTCCTATGTCTAGTTTCGTGAAAAAGCCTAACGTGTCTTTTTTAGCTGGGTCGACACCTTTCTCAGTAGAAGTAGGCCCAATCCCAACACTCGCATTTCAACATTTGTGTACCTTCAATTGTGCACTCCCAACTAGGGGTGCAAGTGCGTAGGGTGTCCTGATTCTCAAGTGCAGAAGTTGATCACGTCCCTTTTGCACCCTTGATCCAAACTTTAAGTCCGCATTGATGAAAACTTGAGTGAAGGGTATTACCCACAATCCATTCCTGTGGGAGAAAAGGCTCAAGTGCCTTTTGTCAAAACATGTGTTGTACGATTAAAGTATTGGTAGTTTATTTTAGGATGATTAGTTGATTCTCTGAAACCTTTAAACAAAGCAGCAATGAATGCAAATCATTTAAAATAATTGGTTGTTTTAAAGTTAATACAAGACCAGCGTCCTGGCATGCTTTGCGGTCGAAAACGCAATAGTTCCGGTCTCAATTCGGCAAATATTTGCACACTTGTTTACCTCGCACACGAAACCTTACTGCGCACTTTCTCCAAGTGCACTTTGCTGAAGACCGCAGGGTGCACTGCGAGTATTGGGATTGCACCACAGATGCACTTGGGGTAAATGGAGACCCATCCAAGATGGCAGCCAGCCACTAAAGCAGCTCCAATAGACAGCACCAGTCCACGGGGTGACTAGTTACATGATGTCTGTGGGTGAAACTAGGATTTGAAAATCCTGACAGATCTACATCACACCATCACTTAACATTCATGGACTCACCCATCTTGACTCATGACGGGGAAGGCTGTCGATTTATCACCCAGGAAAACGCGGGAAACACCTTGGCTAGCAGAAGCTAACTAAGCATTAGCAACTATACAACAGTAGAACTCCAGGCAAGAGTTTATTGTCGAGATAAAACATTCACGTTGCAGAGCAATCAGATGAGACATGTCCAAATAAAAAAAATAACTCCATATCCTGCTGTATTCTCCCACTCCCCTCCAGCTGACTACATTCTCAAATAGGCACACCTCATCATTGTGATCTGCACTCGTTTGTTAACTGGCCATCACTCCATTCCCACAGGTTGTTACACTGGTATCAATTTATATACAAAACTATCAGTACAACCCTAACACTTCCAACAACCAGCACAATTTACGTTCCAGTAACCTAATATCTATGGTTATTCCCAAAGCTCGCACATCCTTTGGTCGCTCCTCATTCCAGTTTGCTGCTCCCAACTGGAATGAGCTGTGAAAAATCACTGAAGCTCACTTCCTACACTCCAATACCTACCTTCAATAATTAATTGCAATCAAGTTTCTGATCAACGTACATCTGATTATATATATATATTATATATATAAATCTTTCCTTATTTTTATCTTAGTAGTTGGTCTTTGGTGTAGAGCTAACTATGTGTCTGTTGCTGCTACCACTTAGCTAGATCGTTGTTGCAAATGAGAATGAGTTCTCAAATTGACTCATCTGGATAAATAAAGGTTAAATAATGATTGCATTGATGCCTTCAGTGTGAAATAGATTTTAAACTCTGCAGGGAGATAGACTCCTAAAGTTAGATTTGGTTTCATAAGGATCTTTGAGACAGTCTGAGCTTTGACCTTAAACAGGCCTTTCCGACTGTAAAAGAGGAACAATGCCCGTTATAAATTGTTAAGTAGTAGGTTTTACAAAGAACAAAGTTGGCTAGAACAGACAATTAATGGTAGTTCTTTAACTACATGATGTATTTAATCAGGCATCTTTGCTTGATACTTAAATATTTCACTATGATGTACAAACCAAAACATCTGTAACTAAACAGCCACCATCTCACTGCACTGAGGATTTTTCATGCATGAATCAGTGAAGTTTGAACTCACATCTCTTGCTGGTTATCAGTCTGAAAGGTTGGTCCATTTCACGGGACTCGTTCTGCAGAAGTTCACAATTATCTCATTTATTAAAGAATGGGCCTTTAATTCCAACAGACTCACCCTGATGGCTATCGAGACTTCACTGGCTGATGCTTCCTCCTCTAAAGCAGAAAAGCAGAGTCAGATTAATAAGGAAACTGGTCTGATTTGGACCCTTTGAGAGGCTCACCGCAGATCAGATCTCCCATGAGGGTGTTCTGAAGAGAAGGAGGCATCTTCATCAGCTCCACTTTGAAGATTTTGTCCACGGTGGCCAGCATGCTCTCCAGTTTAGCCTCTAAATATCTCATCCGTTCTTGTGCTGGAGACAAGAGTTGAACCAAGCTGAAGAGCCCGTTATTGGGCATGGGAGCTTTAAATTAACCCTACCGTCTTTTTCAAACTGCTGGATGAAGAGCTCCATCCTACGCCGGCGTCTCTCCTGGCTCTGCTGCTCTTTGTCCTGCTGATTTGTCGCGGTCTTCTCCCGTCTCGCTGACATTTTGTCGTTCTACCTAGTTTTGAGTTGGGAAAATATTAGTAGCAGCAGCCCAGTTAACCCCATTTTAAATCCACACCTGCTTACAAGCGCACACCTGGACTGGAGCTAGTTTAATTACAGTATCCATCCGCTGAGCGTGAGGTGATGCAGCGGTCCATCCAGCGGAAGGATACACACCGCACCTGTGGGGCCATGAGTGAAAATATTTCCCCACTTAAGTCACTTATAATTATAATTAGTCAAAGCCTACTGTGTGAGTCTGAGTGCAACTGAAGTACAATTTCTGTTATTATTTATATTTAATTTT